AAAGCTGGAGGGGGTCCTGATGGATCCCATCCGCATCCAGGCCCCACAGCGGCTGCGGGAACCAAGGCCAGAGCCCTGCACTCCTTTGCAGGCCTGCAGGGCTCAAGAGGCAGCCTTGGAGCCTGGTATCCCTGCGACACCATCTGATGCCTGGAGCTGGGGCTCTGTCACCCTGGAGCTGGCAGCCGCTCTCTCTGCCCCGGGCCGGGCATTGGCTCTGTGGCTCAAAACACATGAGGTTCCCCATAACGAGGTGCAGGGAGCAAGCGCTGACTGGGAGCTGGTGTCCCTGAGCGCCTAGGCTGCATCACCTGCAGCCTCAGCCAGTGCCCGGAGCCGAGTCAGAACTGGCTACAAACCCTTGTGCGGGGCCAGGACACAAACGCGGCCAGGCAGCCGGGGTAGGGTACTCCGTCCCTCTCCTTTGAGCCTTGTGGCCCATGTGTGGCAGCAGGATCCATGCTTGCGGGGGGGGGCCCCCTGCTGTCATTCCTGGGGTGTGGGTGGCGTCATGTTGAGGCTAGCTCCCTCGCCTCCCCAGCACCAGAGCTGCTGCTTGGCGGCCAGGGGCGGCACGTGCGGAGGCCGGACGTGGGGACCAGGCACAGATGTTAGCCCTGGGTGGGTGCTCCCTGCTCCAGCCCCCTGTCCTGTCTGCGCCCAGGGGCCAAGATTTGCCTCACCTATGGAGGTGGCCCTGTCCCATGCTCAGATCCGGTGTGTGGGGTGGGGGGGGCAGGCAGTGGGTGTTGTGGCTTCACCCAGTGACCCACACTACAGCAGCTCATGCTCATGCCTCCACAGGGCCCAACTCCAAGCACGGCTCATCCTGTGGCTGCTGGCATTAGCCCGTTCCCTGGTCCTGCCCGACAGAGGCGGCCGGAGGCTGTGGCTCCACCATGAACGAGGTGTCGGTCGTTAAAGAGGGCTGGCTGCACAAGAGAGGTGAGAGAGAGGGAAGGGGAGGGCACAGCTTTATAGAGCGGGGAAGGGGATGCAGCTCTTCCCAGCTGGTGCAGAAGGGGCCGGGGAGCCCCTGCAGCCCAGCCGGCTCCCTGCGCCCGTGGCGCTAGCAGAGGTTCCAGTGGCCCGTGGCCACATTCGTCCTGTGCTTGCTGGCTCGGGTCTAGCGAGTGCCTCCCCTGCACAGACAGATACAGCAGGGAGCTGTGAGGGGAGCAGCGGGCCTCAGCCTGCTGCTGTTTCTGAACCCGGTGGAGGTAGCAGCTGCAGAGTCCTTGGCGGGTCAGGATGGCCGTGGGGCCTCCAGAGCCTGTCTCAGGAGGGGGAAAGGGGCTGGCAGGGTACCTGGGTGCCCGTGGACGAGACCAGCCTGTTCTTTGGCCCTGCAGAGTACGTCTACCTGGCACAGGGCTGCAGGGAGATCCCAGCTGCAGGCTACCCTGGGTGCCAGGGCAGGGCCCCGAGCGACAGGACTCCTGGGTTCTGGCTTTGCCCCAGGCTCTGGCAGTGACCCCAGCCAAGGCTTCAGCTCCCAACCAGTGCCCGTTGCCCGGGATGGGGGGGGCAGTAGGGAGGCCACGACCACGCCCAGCTCAACCCTCCTGTTTTGCAGGTGAATACATCAAAACGTGGCGACCCAGATACTTCCTGATGAAGAGCGACGGCTCCTTCCTCGG